TAAAAGGCCGTGGACCAAATGCTAATGTTTCAGGACTTAACTGGATAGGGCAGTGGTCGGAATTGACTCTAGGTAATGCTCTAGCCATCAGGTTCCTCCAATGACTCTCYCACTCTTCATTAAAGAGGAATCTATCTAATTTCGAACAAAGAGGGTTTTCTTGGAAATTAGACCAAGTAAAGTTGGCTTGTAAGAGARGTAAATCCTTTAGACCACAGTTACTAATAAATTCATTAAACTTTCTCATACTGGTAGTAACTGTCCTCTGGGGGTTGTTAGATTCATTACAGAACCTAATTACATTAAAGTCCCCCCCAAGACACTAAGGACCCTCCCATAATCTTCCTATTTCATACAATTCTTCCCACATCTCATTCCTCTCTCTCTTTATGTGTTTAGCCCATAAACATTGGTTAGAACCCAGGTAAATCCATCCCTCCACATTCCTGACCTTAAAGACACAGAGAATCTCCCTATTAGCTCCACTGATTCTACAACATCCTCCCTCCATAATGTTACTAGACCTCCAAAGGCACCCCAAGAAGGGGCCGAGGTCTAACAAACTCCTCTTGATGATCTCCATACACTTGTGACCCACCTTTTATCCATTTCTGCCAACTTGGTTTCTTGAATCAACATTATGCCCGGTTTCTCTCTTCTTAGTAGGTCTTTAATAGCCCTTCTTTTTCTTTCACTTCCCAATCCTCTCACATTCTAACTTATGATTTTCATTGAACACTTCTTTTCAAAAAATCCCTCCCCAAGAGATTCCACCTACTGCAGAATCTTTCTTCTTTTCCCTCTCCCACTAAATTCAATGTCACCCTCAAGATCTGAAATCCATCTCTCCACTTCTGATCTCTTTTTCTTTTTCCTTTTATTGTTACCCTCGATCTTCCTAGATGATGCATTAGCTTCAGCTACCCCACCCCAACTTGGAACTTCTATAGAATTCCTTCTCTTGGGAAATTTCTGCTCTCTCCCTTTGATCTAGTTCCTCCTCCTCATTGTATTCCTCCAACAACGTACAGATCATCTCCCATATTCTCTCTAATTCCTCCTCTCTCTCTAGGGGCCACTTCTTCCCCTCTCAGTTCACTCTCAGAATTTCCGTTTTCTCCTCTTTCCCCCGACTGGAACTTCCGCTTGGGATGCTGGAGTATCTGTTACAAGCACAGAAGGCACATTAGTAACCAAAACCGAAAGGACATCCATACCTGTGTTATTGGGAACCAATGGGCCATCAATCAAGGGAGGGGATGCGCATAAGGAGAGAGGCCTAAATCTGTTCCTTGTGATTGATCTTGCCTTGGAGAGTTTATAGTAGGAGTCAATACCCTGTCAGCTTTAGCAATTGAACTATTCTTCCCATGCTTCCCTTCTTCCGGTATTACATTACAGACCAAAGTGTTAGGATTTTTCCTTACCAGCCTTGTATCCTGTTTTTTCTGAGCTACTAGACTGACTTCCTTCCGAGTGCAGGCATCACCTGAACCTCAGCTCTTGTCAGACGATCCAATTCATTCACATCGTCGTTCAACTTTTTGTGAAACATCTTCTTCCTTGTTCTCTTGAAAAAGCACCTCTGTACCCGAACTGTCTTCATAAAAAACGCTTCTCGTTCTGCTCAGGTCAATGCTCCCTAAGCTCACTGTATAGTCTGAATCGATATCACTGGCATCTTCTTCCTCAGAGCACTCATGCTGCTTCCGCTCTTCAAGATCACTTCGCCTGACGCTCCTCGGATTGCATTTTTCTGGCGACAATCTGTTTACCTTTTCTGACGCAACCCAGTGTAAGGAGTTCCCTGGATTGGCGAACTTCTCTCTTCGTAGTGTTCGGCCTGTTGAGTTCAACGAAGAAGAAGGTAGATGGTGTTTACCATCTATCGACTCTGCCCCCTTGGTCACGTGACCTTTTAAAACCCATGTGGTCCCCTTTGATAGGCTGGTAATGTTTGGCCCATATAGTCTTTTAACATAATGCTCCTTCTGTCCCGCCTTAGGTAGGCCCCCAATGGTCGGCCCATTATAAACATTGTCCCTTCTAATATTATTTGGCCTAGTTTTTAAAACCTGGGGCCCACCACTTGGGGGAGGCCCATTCCCAATTATCTGGCCCGGATTGGGTAGAGATTGGGCCCTATTAATTTTAGATGACCCCAGCTTTTCAGCTCCCTTTACTCTCTGCCCCCTTCTCTCACCTTTTCTCAGTCGAACAGGTGCATTTAATGAATTAGCTTGAACGCCATGTGTTACTGCTAGTGCATATTCTGTCAGGTATCCATCTCATGCCTTGTTTATCACGTTTGTGACTTCCATCTTCAGCAAAGCTTTTGAATACCAAAAGCTTGCTTGCCCTCTTTTGTGTAGCTGTGCCTTCCTTGTAGGTTAACCAACCCCTTACTGCCACGTAAGGTTTCTTCTTCAACCTTACCATCTTCCTCCCTACGAGTTTCCTTCCACATTTCAGCTTCAATGGAGGAAGTCAACCAGACCGTCATGAAGGCTCCTCCAACTCTCAGGTTCACTTTCCTGGGAATCTCCTCAGGCTTGACACCATTTAATAAGATTGCTGCAGACCTTAGATCTCCCCAAAAAACACCCGCCAATCTTGCTCCACACAATGTTGCGATGGCTTCTGCTACTTCATCCTTCCACAGATGGAAAGGTAGACTCACCACACGCACTTTTAACTCCATCCATTACCGAGGATTCCTTCGAGTTTGATGAAGGAGACCACCTGTAAATGTTCACCAACCCCAGTTTATCTTGCAAACACATGGCCTCAACTTCTGGCTTATTATCCGGAGGATCTAGCAGAGCTTTGCACCCATCAAAAGGAATTAATACGTATGTGGTCGTCATCCTCAACTGTTTTGTCACCAACTCAGCAATCTCCTCCCAGTTTCTACCTGGTTTATGGACTTCAACTATCAGTTTGTTGGACCACTCTCCTGTTGCCGCCGAAATCAATGCTCTTTTCCATCTTGCACTAAGGTAGGGACCATTCTGTGTTCAGGATATCCTCTCCTACCTTCTTCTCCGTACCTTTTTCCTGTTTCATCTTCATTCTAGATATAAAGTCTCTCACGGCCTTGACTATTTCGATCCACCCTTGGCTCTTCCTTCCTACTGGAAAGCATACCATCTGCTTCCTGGCATTATCATACTGCTCTGAAAGTGTTATGAAGAATCCTTTGTGGTTTTTCCTTCTTTCCACCACATATCTCCTTCCCACCTCTGTTATAAGTTCTTTCCAGCATCTGTCCTTTCCTTTTGCACTCGCTGCAACTACAAAATCTATGAACCATTCTACCACCTTCAGTCCTACCAACAGCACCGTAGCCAGCTTAGCTTCCCTGATTTTCAAGCTAATCTGCCCTCTGATTCTTAGTTCTTCCAGCAGAAAGTTCTTCACCTCCACCTTGAGGTACTTTCTCCATTGGTTAGCCTCCACGAAGTTCATGGCCCCTTTCTCCATCTCCTTTAGTCCTTGAACCCTTCCTCAGCTTATTCCCTTCTCCTACAATGGAAAAACCCTCCTAAACCATGAACCCCTTTATTTCTTTCTCTATCTTCAAATATTCTTAAGTTCCTCTCCTCCCAAGCTGTCCACACTACTGCTGCCCTTGCACACTTTTCTCCCAAGCAAGAAATTAACTTCACAACTTACATTGCTAAAGCATGCATTCTTTACAAAGAATAATTTTGAGGATTTAAGGATAGTTTGCTGGCTTAAGAGTTAAACTTCTTGCTTGCAAGATGACAAGTCATTTTGGAAGACTCCAATTATGTAACATTCTTATGTGTGAAGTTGGCTGGTTACAAAGACTGGTTCTGATTGATCCAGCGTATTATTCCTACCTAGTATTGGCTGACTGGTGACTCCTTTGGTCTTTCTAAGTTGCTTCAATTAGCCGAGCCTTTAAATACCTAATGTTTTATAAGGGTAAAAATAATATGCTTACTTAAACTCTCTTTTGGAGAGGATTAATCTTGTGACATCCTAAAAGCTCAAAATTGCCTTCCAAAACCCCAACAGGAAATCCTAAAAGATGACCCAAAAAACCAGTTGATCCTCCCGTTTTGATTATTTAAAGATTATATATCCCAGTTCTTTAGTTTTCCTTCTTATTTTTTTGGTGGTGGAAAATTACATTCCAGTCTGTAGAGGTAAAGCTTGATTTTTTTTTTCATTTTGTTCTCGTCTATTTGGTTTTCACTATAAACCTTAGACATTGATTTTTTTTTCATTTTGTTCTCGTCCATTTGGTTTTCACTATAAACCTTGACATTGATTTTTTTTCAATCTCTTTATCATTGCTTTTTTTTACTACAAACCTTGCCTATTCAATTTTCTTTACAATCTCTTTATCATCTGCCAAAACACATTGGCAGGTGTGGCTTTTGCAGCTCACATTGTGGTGGGAAGATAGATTGCATATCCTTGTATCAATGTCTCATTTAATCTGATATTGTATTTTTAGTAAAAAGAAATTAATTTTATTAATAAAAGAAATAGGGTGCATAGCAAGGTGCCGACCAGCTGGTTGGTAAGGTCTCCTGCTGGTTGTAGTGGAGACTTGGGATTGAATCCTGCCTGCACCTGGGTTGGGGGGGTTATGGGTTGTGGGATGGGCTACCCCTGTTGTGTAGCCCTTCAAAAGAAAAAAAAAAGAAATAGGGTGCATAATGGGATTAAACAACCCATAAATGAGATTTTGATTGCAATTCATAAAACTATTAGGACTTAAGTGGCACTTTATTGTCAATTAGCCAAAGAGCCTGCTAAGGGACTTGGCTCAAATAACGGGAGTTAGGCTTCAATAAAAATTTAAAATCTAGAAACCTTAACTAATTGCAATCTTAATACAATACGAGCATCAGTATTGTATATCTGAAATGTTCTAAATTTTGAACATTTGAATGGTCCTCGGCCAAAGTTTTATTGAATGAATTAGTGCAATATGTGTCATGTGGCTTTTATTGGTTGATCAGATATGCCCAGCACAGGCAATCACAATTGAGGCTGAGGAACGAGAAGATGGGAGCCGTAGGACTACCAGGTGAGTGATACTGCCTTTTCTTTGTGGCTGAATTTTCCTCTGTGTGCTTGTTTGAAAAAAGCATAGCTGGAAGCCTGGAACAATTAAAAAAACTGTGCTGGAGAGGGGAGGGGGGTGCTGGGGAAAATTAAGGACTCACTGCCAGATAATGTAAATTTTTTTTATTGATTCTTGCTCAATCTTATTAAATTGGAAGTTCAGCGCTGGTGCAATTTTCCAGCAGAGAAAGTAAAAGGAATAGAAAAGCAAAGCCAATCAGACAAGATGAGATTTAGAGCTGTTAGATAATATGATCCAATCAACTATGTTCTGTAATTGGGCGAATTACTCTCTTTCTCCCTCTCTCTCTCATATGTTTGGCTGCACAGGTATGATATTGACATGACAAAATGCATTTACTGTGGATTCTGCCAAGAGGCATGCCCTGTTGATGCTATAGTGGAGGGACCAAACTTTGAATTTGCAACCGAAACTCACGAGGTGAATTCTTATTTTTGTGGAAGAAAGAAATTAGCAAGTCACTATATGTGTGTATGTGCCTTCAAAACGTAATTATTTGTTTCCCATTGATGCAGGAATTGTTATATGACAAGGAGAAACTTCTTGAGAATGGAGATAGATGGGAGACTGAGATTGCAGAGAACCTAAGATCTGAGAGCCTCTACCGTTGATTGTCATGCTCCACATCAGTATTGCTGCTTAGAAACTAAAATAAAGGAACCTGTTAACGCACTTGAAGTTTATTTTTTACCCTGGCCCCCCACCCTTCCCGGCATGGCGGCATTTATGTGCAGTGCATTGTCCTGAGCCGCAAACTGCTTTTTAGTGAACCCAAGAATCCAAGAAAACTTCCTTTTATGTGAAATATGAACGAATAGAGAATGCAAGAGATGGAACGGAATTACTTTTTCCATTTCTTTCAAGTTCTGTAAATGTAAGGGATGTTCCTTTCAAAATATTATCATATCAAACATTAAAATTTCAAAGTAAGAAGTAAAAGCATCACATGATGCTCATGCTAGACAGTCTGTGGGGCCACCATGCTTTTCCCTGGAAGTAATAAACGACCTCACCAATCCCCGAGTCAGGGGAGGACCGAGGTTGGGTCGGGATGCACCATCTCAACCTTGAATAGCTTTCTTGCTTTCTTGAAGAAGACGGTGTCTTTCTTCTTCCACCTTAACTGGGCCATCACAATTCACAAATACTATTTTATTTTCTCCACCTCCACTTGAGAAGCGGAGTTCCGGAGAGGATCGAAGAGGTGGTCTTGATAGATTACGTTAGAGTTTCTGAAACGCTAAATACTATTTAATTTATAATTTTGGTTTGCTTTATTTTATAAATATATGATGTGACAAAGGGTCTGGTAAAATATCAACCATTATTGCAATGAAAAAAGAGTAATGATCGTTTCAAACTCTAGTTTGTAGCCGAGCACAAGGAGGTGAGGACTGCGGTAAAGGGTTTTTAATGTTGGGAGCTGTATAAACTAGTAATAACGCCCCACCTTAGCCATGGTCATGGGTGTGAAGAAAATTGAAGTGGCAGTTTTGTGGCGGCCCTTCAAATGAATTAACTGAGCTGATTTGGGCTCTCCAGACAATCTTCACCGGACATAGTTATAGGCTGTCCATGTAGAGTAGAGCCCACTTTAGAAAGCCACAAGCCCCAGTGTGTTTTAGACCTCCCAAACAGTCAGTGTTGAGCTGAAGATTCAGCTAAGTTAGTTCAGCTGCCTTCAAGTGCTCTGAATAAGCTATGCAAATCGACAAGCTCTTCCTATAAGCTATATACAGGAACCCTATCTGCACCCACTCACATGACATCGCAGCGGCTTTATTGGGTCGAGATCTCCGGATTTTCACCAAACATAGAGCCCATTTGAGAGGGAGGGCTTCGACATTGATTTAACTATTGCTGACTCAGCCGTTTCAGAGAAACTATCAACAATGGCTTTATTGGAAAGTCAATTTATTTTCAGGTTTTTCACCAACAGTTAAACACGGCTTCACAGCTTTGTGTGGGGCTTACCTTGCAATGTTAGAAGCAGTTGTGTGAAAGACCTCCCGAACAGGGGCAGAGTCAGGGGGGCCATGGCCCCATCCCTTGAAAATCCCCACAGTGCCCATTTCAACCTCACTTATATTGTGGTCCCCTACCTATGTTTACTAACTTTTGGCCCCACCATCCAGGTTTACCACTTTTTGGCACCCTCCAGAGAAAATCCTAGCTCGGTCCCTGCTCCCAAGCAGGCATATAGTTTATGGGCTGTCTATATGGGTTCAACCTCAGAAACCTAGAAGCCACAGGATTTGAGCTTCGTTGATTAAGCCACTTTAGATAAGCTGAAGTGCTAGTTTGGGAGGGCTTTTAGGATGCGGCTTTAGTTAGACCTCACACGGAAACCTCTAAAGCTGTTTTTGGTAAAAATTCGTAATGCCAATATAGGTGTTCCAAACACTAGAATTGTGATTGTAAGTTTGTAACAAGTTTATCCAAAACATGGATGTTCAACCGAAGTGGCTTAGGTGATGTTTGGCATTGACAATGATTTTTTGAAAATCACTGCCATGTTGGAGTTGCATCAGCATTAGAGGAATTTGCATTAAAATTTCTGTTTGGTTAGCCGATTTTAGTGGTTTTCAAGAAATTGGCCAAAAATCAATTCTGGAAGTCAGCCCTTTTCAGGGATAATCTTTTTTTGGTAATTTCCTGATTTCTAGTTGATTCCGATTTTTTGAGGATGACGTGGCATTGAATAATAACTATAATACAAAAATAATTGGCCTTTGAGAATCAGTACCAAACAAATTAAAAGTCAATTTCTAAAAAATCAGCTTACATGGCAGAGGTGATACCAAATAACAAAATTTACTGATTTCTGGAAAAAAAAACACTGATTTTAAAGATTTGTTAATAAGGCTCAGTTTGGAGTGGAAGGAGTACAAATACAAATATGTAGAGTGCAAAACCTTGTATTTTGTATGTATTTGCACTGTACATATTTGCATCTGTATTCTTTCCAAACTGAGCCTAAAGAATCAGTATTGATGCCAAACATCACCTTAGTTAATGCAATTTACCCTAAAAACGGAGGAATTTGGATATATTGACCACATTCATCCAGCCACACATTGAAAATATATCTTATACTTTATATCACTGATATTCCCAATGTGCGGCTGGATGAATGTAGCCAAGAATATATTGAGTGATCAGATCCGAACTCTAATGAATGTGTGTTTTATTATTTTTGGCTTTTTCAAATTTTCACGAACGGTTGCTTGAGAGGAATCCAAATGTAATAGGCACATTACAACATTGTAAGCACAAGGAATGCGAATATAGTAAATCTTCTACACCTGTATCCAAAGTTGAATTTAATATTTTTAAGGGTAGTTTGAGGGCATATTAAGGTATAGGTGTCAAAAAAAACTTTCAAGTGCTTATTCAAGAATTGGGAACATCACAACCACATCCCATCCCATCCTGGATTGAGAACATCTCTCCATGAATGATAAATTTAAGGACGAGAGGCCGGGATATACTGTGAGATCGGTGTGAGGCGCGAAGAATTAGGAACAGATCCGGACTCACTCCTTATTGAGCGTATGCTCATAGTGACGAGATCTGTTACTCACAAATGGGCGCCACACAGGCACATCCACTATGCATTGGAACCCCTCTTTCTCTCTCTCGGTCATGCCTAACTGATCCGTACTGGCTTGAGGGTTTTCCTTGTGGGCCTATCAAGCCTCGGACTCTCTCTCTCTCGGTCATGTTCCCTTTCGGTTTTCTTTTTCATCTTCAATCTCACGTCTGGCGGTAGTTCCCTACCAACGTGCAACGGCGAGCCGGACGAAAATCTCTGCGAGGGTTGCATCTAGGTAAGTTTTCTGCCTCTAAAATTGTACAAATCCACTAGAGTGAATGGGACCAAACTCACCAAAGTCCTCGCCTTCTCCTTACCCTGAGTAAAACATGGTTTCACATCCTCTATCCTCTCTTGCTGGTAACAGGATGCCTCCTCTGTCATACTTGAATACACTAGTGTTTTTCACCCTCCTTTACTTCACAGGAATCAAGGGTTCCGACTCCCCTCACACTTCGTGCGCAGAACAGGGGTCTCTCCCTCTAACCTTAAACGAAGAAACTGTATATTTCACATACTGCTGAACACCATGTTCTCCTTTGGATCCTCCCCATAATCCTTAAAAAATGAAAACTAAATCAATAAGAATGAGAAGAATGGTACTGCTTTGGAACTTTGGTCACATTTGAAGCTAGTTGAGAGCAATTTCAGTAAGCCTTGGTAACCGAGGAGTATTTGATATTTATTTGCAGCTGATTGCCTCATTTAAAGCGATAACTGATAAGCATAATATAGAGAGATTTTAATATGTTCCCCCAACCAATCCACAGAGTTATTCAAATGTATATGGTGGCAAGGATACAAATAGCTAGAATGTTGTATTAGTTGCATTTACTATTTCTATATAGAATTTTCGACCAAGATTGTTTTGAGCTTGCAACTATAGTTGCTTTTATAGATATCACTAATTCAACTTGTTTGTAGTAAATTGTTGTGCTGAAGGTTTCTAGAAACTCATATGCTATAATATTGAATCCAATCTTTGTGCCTTACCAATAATAGAAACAGAAAACCACGTTTTTTTTTTCTTATTATGCTTATGATATAAGGACGTGATACACGGGTTCGATGGGAGGATAAACTCCATCTCCCCCATCCTGTTTATCATGGTCAGTAGGTGCCTAAGTAGCTAACCTTTAAGGGGATTTTCGTGAAACATAATCAAATAGGAGAAAATGCTAACTTCCAGGTAAACTTTTCTAGGTGGGTTGTGGATTTTCTTTCTTTCCTTTCCTTTTTAATTTTGTAGTCCATCTACTTCCGACACAGGTCTTATCAGTAGCTTTATATGCTTCTGTTGAACATATTATTACCTTATTTGTAGCATTCCTCCTAAAAGTTGCTCCTCTTAACTTAGAATGCTACAACATGTTCTTTGATTGCTTGGAATGCTAGTACATGGTGGTGTGCATTACCTATATAGCAGGTGAGTGTTACATCTCTTATTCTCAATGTCAGAAACTAGGGTTATTGTGCATTGTGTCCACTATGTATGTGATGGATATACACACTTAATGGTAATTATGTTATTATACACTAGTTGAGTGGCATGTACAAGAGGAGGGAAGAAATAGAGAAGATTAGGAAAATAAATGGACTAAAGTTTTTGATGGTCATCTGGATGTGAGGCCAAGCAAAGTATCAGCATTATCTATTAAATATAAAGTACCATAGTCTGAGTATGGCCAAAAGAACAATATCATTATCATAACACCTGATTTATAGGTGAGAGAATTTTGTGAGGGATAGATGGTTATGCAATCATATCAGGTAGAGTTTAAGTGCATCATGTGCCATGTGGGGTTTCAGAACAAACCCCTATTTATGTGCCAGCTGTTGGTTAGTCTGATCTCAACCAGGGGCATGAATTATATATCTTTGTTTTTGGAAAAGATTGTATTACTTAGTGGTAAAAGTGATTTCATGTGCAAAAGATGCTAAGAATTGGGACGACCAAATTTCCCAGAAGTATGTAAAGTACCTAGAAATTCAGCGTTCTATCCAAGATTAAACCTTTGCAACACTTCCATCCCTTACTAACCAACTCTTCAACAGTGAGAGATTTCTCCAGAAAGACCAGTCATGAAGGCAATCTTGGGGGAGCTGGGATTCAGTTCAGCATCTTCAGCTGTTAACAAATGGCCCCTTAGATGCATATACCTTATTGTGATGCTTCTGGATTTCATAACCATCTTCTGGCATCACCAATCCACTAAAGGATGGTTACTATGTGGCTTCAATGAGAAACAGTTACCTACATAATTCTTGGATCCTTCATCTTTTGTATAAAACATAATTCCTGGAACTTAATGGAATTCCAATTCTACCTGAACACCAGTGCACCAAACATTTGAACTTGCAATTGGAATTGACAGACCAGTTCCAGACATGCAGGGGCTGTACATTGATTTGTCCAAGAAATTGTATAGGCTTCACATTTGGTGTTTACAAAGGAGAGATGCAACTAGTTTCTTATGTCAATATCTCATCACTATATATATATATATATATATATATATAGTATATTTCCAGTTAATCATGTTGAGGCCATGGGGATTCATGTTTAGTGATCTTTTAACATCAATGAGGTAGAAGCTTACAGTTATTCCTTCCTTTCCTACTACATTTCAAAGGGGTTTTTTCCCTTCTTTTTTTTTTCTTTTTTTTTTGGGGGGGGGGACTGCAGTGCTCCATGCTTTATTTGGACATCTTACAGAAGGGAGATGATTATGTGGCTCTCCCTATGAATTTTTATATTTTTATAAAAGCTGTAAGCTTCAGTTCATGCATGAGACTGTGAGAGTAGGCATATTATCCCTTTCCTTTTTTTTTCATATTTCTGTTTTTATAACTATCTTTTTTTTCTACCACATGACCACACGTTATAATCCACCTCTCTTCTTACTTGTTTCCAACTCCTAAAAGTTCTACTTCCACTCTTCCACTCCAAAATCATTTTTCCTTCCTAAAACTCTTTACTATATCTCTTCCTCCTCTCTCTCCCCCCAAAAATACTCACTTTTATTGGATTTCTTTTTCTTTTTGTTTATTATTGCATGTACACCTGTGCAGATGCATGAACTCTTGTTGTTATTTTACCATAGAAAATTGCCTACTCTGGAACAAAACTTCCATTTTATGTCTTTCTTTTTTTTCCTTCGAGCAACCTGTCTTCCATGAGATCTCTCTCTCTCTCTCTCTCTCTCTCCCCCCCCCCCCCAAAAAAAAAAAAAAAGGTACTCTCTTTTATTGGATTTCTTTTTTGTTTATTATTGCGTGTACACCTATGTAGATGGATGAACTCTCTTGTTGGTATTTTACTAGCAAATTGCCTACTCTGGAACAAAATTTCCATTTTATGTCTTTTTTTTTTCCTTTGAGCAACCTGTCTTGAGAACTCTCATTTGCTTTCTGGTATTACTGGTATTTACTTTTTGCTTTTTCTTTTTATTGATTTTCAGCTTATATTTGTTTGAAACTGGGATAAGAAGCATAGGGAAGCAAAAGTTTGTTACTGTACCATTACTGTTTTGAAGCGTGACATTCTGAAGCAGGAATAAAGTTGCATAAAACGGAAGTAAGTGCACATGGTTTAGGTTATCTTGTTAAGTGGTGGAGTGGGTATTATCACCTTCAACATGCAAGTTTGCAACATTAATTCTCCTTATTCATCTTTCATAATTCTGTATAAAATTCACTTTAGGTTTTATCTATTTCAGAAATGAATATGATGAATCTTGCAACAAGACTCTGTAGACAAGTAAATCTCAAAGAACTGGTTTCACAAATTCCTGTGTATAGTGGCCCTAATGGTAAAGCTTATACTTATAGTGCTTTGTAGCAAATATCCATGATTTGAATGAGGTTTTGGGCTTGTTGGTTATTGTTGATATAATGATCTTTATTCAATTTAGATTTAGGTGCTGCTGGAGGAGGATTGAGCTTGATGATCAGACGTTGGGCTACAAAAAAGTCAGCTGGATCCACGAAGAATGGCAGAGATTCAAAACCAAAGAATCTTGGAGTGAAGAAATTTGGGGGAGAGGTAGATATCCTTCAACTATGAGCATTTTTTCGTACATAATCTTTTCCGTTTATCAAGAATGGTGTTTGATTATTTACTCTGCAGAGAGTGCTACCTGGAAATATAATAGTTCGCCAGCGTGGTACCCGTTTCCATCCAGGCAACTATGTAGGGATGGGGAAGGATCACACCCTCTATGCTTTGAAAGAAGGGTGTGTCAAATTTGAACGTCACAAGCTGAGTGGTCGCAAGTGGGTTCATGTTGAACCCAAGGAAGGGCATGTACTACATCCTGTTTACACAAATGTTACTGCTTCTAAATCGAAGACAACTGTTTGAGTCCAAGCTTCCCTGTTGAAGTTGGTGTTAGAGACGGGGATGCAACTCTTATAGGAGTGGTTTATTCTTCTGGGGCTTTAGTTAGGCTCGTAATAATGTCTTCCAGGATGAAATTCTTTGGATGGGCCAAAACATGGAGGTACCAAATTTTCTTGCATTTTTTGTTTTTGTTTTATTTTCTCTTTTGTGGCTTTTGTTCTTTGTCATTATTGTATTCCCTTAACAATATTTGGTTCTTTTTTTTTTGAGTTGTAAATGGATCGGATTTAATCTGATTCAACCTTGAACCCAATTAGTTTAACTGTTTAAGCCGGATTCAGGTATTTTAACCATAAACAGAATGGATGGGATTTGAGAATGTGATCCATATAGTAATTGATCTGATCCACTAAGATCTGATTTGATTAAGTGGGATTTGAGATTTAGATAAACCTATTTTTGTCCATTTACAATATATAGTTTCTTGTAATATATTTAATTTTGTATTTGTTTTAGTAGGAAGTTCTATATTTAGGGTCCATTTGGTTCATAGTTGGAACTGGAACCGAAATCCTCCGGAATCGGAATCGGAGTGGACCATTCCCATAATCTGTTTGGTTCAGACAGGAATGGGAATAGGAATTAAAATCAGCAGGAATGGGATTTCATTCCCAAGGGAGGGGCAGGGAATGGCCATTCCCTCAAATGGGGGAATGAATGGAATCGAATTTGGATATCTGGATATATAAATTGACTTGAATTCAAATCTATGTTTCACATATCTGTCGGATCAGATTCAGATATGCCACAATCCTAATTTAATCTGATCCCTTTGCAACCCTGTTCTTTTTGTTATGATTTCTCATTTGGTTCTTAAAACATTATAGCCAAAGAAAAGTAATAATTAGTGCTGTGGTTGAGCAAGAAATGGGTATGAGGTGTTGCCGTGTTAGCCCATTTTGGTTGGCAACTGTACGTGTTTACATAAAGGCCATTAGTTACTTTCATTGGTTGATTTTTGACAATAAAAAATTATCAGTTTCAAAGTTCAGCAAGTTCTCTTATTTTGGTTTGTCAGAGACATGGTTTAGAATTTTGAGATATTTTTTGAAAAGTCTCTGTGCTACCATTAGTATCAAGAGAAGATCTATTTTGAATATTTCTTCCATTTTCTAGTGATTGGTTTGAGTATGTTTCATGTAGGGGTGTCAATTGGACTGGGTTTGGTTCAATCCGATCCAGTTCAATGTGAGTCCACTACAAATGGACCAGGTCCAATCCAATGATCCAAATTCAGTGAATATTTGGGACCATTTTGGACCTGTCTAATTCAATGTCTGGACCGTCTAAATGTGTTCAAATTCGTTTTAATTTAGATTGGTTTCAATTCAAATCCGGTCTATTGACAGCTATATTTTTATCTTATATCAATGGATCAGATATTGGCTTAATCCAATCCAATCCAATATAAATTTATTACAGATGGATCAGGTCCAATCCAATCTAATAAATATTTTGGATTGGATTGGTGCAATTCAATGTCTTGTTGATCCGTCTAACTGTTCAAATTGATTTTGCACTGGATGGGTCCAGTCCAAAGCCAGTCCATTGACACCCTTAATTTCATGCAGTTCATAATGTATGAGTCAATATGATACTCTTAGTTTCAAGCAGTTTGAGTCAATATCATGAAGAAAGTTAGTCAGTTTTTGCGTTCAAGAACGAAGATCATCACTGATTCGGTTGGTTCCTATTAATTGCCATTTTTACCAAACGTGTCTTATCATCTTTGTTACTTTCTGATGCCCAAAAATTTTGTGCCAGGAACGCTTCATCTGTTCATTGTATCATTTCCAGAGTTATCTTACTGTCATTTTTTCAGGAAAGCAAGTCAATCAACATATAGATTAGATAACATAGAAAGTTTATTGTTTTTTTTTTTTTTTTTTTTGTTTGGTTTAGTCACTTCCCCTTCCTAGAATAATAACAGGGCAGGAAATAAACCTTTTTTTTCGTAATATGTGAAATTAAACACTGTTATGGTCCTAAATGTTGAATTGCTTGATTTGACGAGTTTCCTCAGTCACGAGGCTTTTGCTTATTGGCCAAGCATGTATCACCACGTTTCAAGTTCGAATCAAAGAGAGGGCTACTTGAGAGAAGGGTTTAGGGTTTAGGGGGTTACTTGGTGTATGTAGAGTGAATTACCCCAGAAAGGGCTATCTAGAATAAAGTGAAAGCTGCTAGAGGGAAACCGCCAAAACATGAGCCCTCATAGAGAGGGCTACCTATTGCTAGAGTGAGAGGTGCCCAGAGTGAAACCTCCAAAATGTCAGTTGTAGAAGCGTGATTATATGTTAGGGTACTAAATGTTTGGTTGGTTGTCATATCTGCAACACATGCATAATGGCACCAAGCCTTATCCCTGGGGTTGTAATCAGATAGGATTTCGCATTCAACAAAATTTGAATATGATCAGATTATTAAAAACTTGCATCCAAATTCAATTGCATTCGAATTCAAATCCTAATGGATTCGGATCAGATTTTGTTCTAATTTTTTGAAATATAAAAAATTAATTATTTTTCAATTGTTATATATAATAAATTAATGTAAATATAATATACTGAATTTATTATATATCTAAATTCATGTATAATATAACATATAAACATTTTTATAATTCTAAATATAATTATATAAAATTTATATCTTAAAATCAATAAATGTAATAATATAATCAGATTATGATTTTAATCGGATTGGATGGAGTCAAATCCGAATCCAATCCGCTTAAAATATCAGATAGGATGTCAGACCAGGCTGTGAATTTTCGGGTATTATTCTCTTATTGACAGGTCTAATTACCCCGTATTATGATCAAGTTGGCATTGGATTAGATGCAAACCTCGTATCATTTAATTACATTTTCTATACATATTGGGAGCTTGAAAATTTTCACTTCAGAGATCTACTCCATTGACAGGAACCCGCGATAATTCTTGAATAAATCAGCTGGGCTCTTTCTCCATGAACAACTTCTATGGATCAATGTCACCTGTATGGCCGTATTTCTTATCTTTCCTCTGAAAACAAGTTTTTTGTTAGCGAGAAAAACTGGGCTCTTTTTCCATGGATCTATTGGTTGCTCAAGAATTGGAAGGACTGCCAGGGACATTGGATTCAAATCTTCGCCGCCTTTCCACTGCAGCATCTACACGTTGCTTAAACTCTTCGTCGGTGCTTGCCAACATGTAACGCAGTTTGAAATTTATCCGGTTTTCAACCATAATCTTGTGCCTTGGAATTATCCTTCCATCAAGGGAATAGCTGAAAAACCTGGAGATACTTTTTCAATCAGTTCCCATAACATGATACGAGGAATAGAAATTAATCCATAACACTTCATACCAATAACTAGTTCAGAATAATTTGCCACAGTAATCACTTGGCAAGTCTGGCAGCATAATCAATTCAGCCTTATCCCCAACTATTTGTTGCCATTGTACTCCATGAAAATCTTGACTGCGATGAGAGAGAGAGAGAGAGAGAAGGGGTCGACAGACTTCCATAATCTTGGGTTGTGTTTGATGAGAAAGATGAGTTGCCAATTACACAAAAGGGAGTCATTTTAACTGAAAAAAAATGCAGGTGGGAACTGTCATTGCTGTTTAGAGTTGAAACATCAAATTTGATGTTTTCAAAGTAAACAACAGCAATTTGTACTGATCAACCCAAAACATTTCTGATTATATGACATGACAATTCATATTTTAACACCAATTTCTATTGATCAACCCCAAAGCGTTTCCTCATGAAACAACAATGGTACCAAACACAACCTTAATGTGTTGATAATGAGAAAATGTTATCCTTAACTGTATTAATAAAAATGAGAGGAAAAGGAAGAAATGTAAAAAAAATCGAGTGTTCCATTGAGCAAGGAACTAATGATATCCAATTCAGAAGCGCATAAAAACAGAATTTGTAAGGAAAAAAAAACAGAAACCCATTCTGCACATTGGAACTTCTAGAACTCCTTAAATCCACATTAGAATTTAAAGGTAGGACCATTAAAAGACTAAGTAGGTCTAGGCTTTTCATTGAGTGAAAAAAGGTTAATTAATATGTTCATGTTATTAGCCAAATCTCACTATTGACATTTGCAAGGTGCCAACTGGTTGGTTGGTAACAGAAACCCATTCTGCACATTGGAAYTTCTAGAACTCCTTAAATCCACATTAGAATTTAAAGGTAGGACCATTAAAAGACTAAGTAGGTCTAGGCTTTTCATTGAGTGAAAAAAGGTTAATTAATATGTTCATGTTATTAGCCAAATCTCACTATTGACATTTGCAAGGTGCCAACTGGTTGGTTGGTAACAGAAACCCATTCTGCACATTGGAAYTTCTAGAACTCCTTAAATCCACATTAGAATTTAAAGGTAGGACCATTAAAAGACTAAGTAGGTCTAGGCTTTTCATTGAGTGAAAAAAGGTTAATTAATATGTTCATGTTATTAGCCAAATCTCACTATTGACATTTGCAAGGTGCCAACTGGTTGGTTGGTAAGGCCTCCTATGATGCTTGGGATCGAATCCCACCTGCACCAGGGTTGGGGATGGGCTATCCCCCTCCCCCCCAGGTTGTGTAGCCCCCTGGAGCAAAAAATAATAGTTCAAAAAAGAAAAAGTTGGAAGGATTGATATCCTTTTACCTGGGAAACTCAATCAGGTCCTGCAATGGGCGGACCATAATTCTCCTCAAGTAACGGTACTTTGGGCGGAGGACATCCAAATTATATCGCAATAGCATGGGAAAATCAGCAATCATCTCTCCTAGCAATAGAAGAGGAATGCCCAATGACAGGAAGTACTTCACATTAACCTCCAGCTTGTGTGTTATGCTGCACCCTAATAGTTCTGGCCCTAATGCTATAACCTTCCCAATATCCTTCTGGCTGACACCAGCTTTTGTCATCAAGAAAATGACCTGAAAATCATATTCGAATGCACAAATGTCAGTACACAATACTGATAAAAAAATGTCAGTACGCAATTTGCAGAAGCTTCTGAATTAATATGTACAAGGAACAGAGGATAGTTTAGATAATTTTCCAATTACTAGCTCACCTACAGCCATATCTTTGGAACAGAATTCAGCCCTAACACATAGAAAGAGAGAACATGGCTATAGAAGACAACTAGAGAATAGATCCGGGCAAAGGAATATCACAAAATACTGGGCCATGGAATAGTTAATAAATTAATGATAATGCTTTTTCACACCAATATAACTGTGATAGGTTGATAGTCCTATTATTACCAAAATAAACCCATCCATGTTAGTGATGATATGAAATATCTGAAGATGTATGTAGAAGAAAATGAATTGCATTTTTTTATCAAATCTTGTGTAATAAATAACATAGTTCAAACTGACCATTATCCAATAAAAATTAGGATGCACTTCAACTGCAAGCAAAGAGAAAAGCCTCCTCCACCACACACCGAAGAGAGAAAAAAAGGAGAGTAGTTATATGAGATGTAGAAGCAGAGCCCACCACTCCAGAAGACATGTAAGACTACTGTAGTTAACTTTCTGATGATCCGAATTCAGAAGAGGTCACAGAACACTCCCCCACAACCTTTTGATTCTTCCATGTTGCCATAAATAATTGCATTTAACAATATATGGATACACAAATGAGTGCATAATGGTCATGCTATCAGCTATATTTATCCATTTGGCAAGTTTCCATCTACCATCCTACTTGAACAGTGATTTTCGGAGTTTAATGGCAAAGTATTCAACCTTTATGCAAGATGAAGTCACATTTCTAGGACAATTGTATGAGAGAACTGAGGATAAAAATAGCCATTTGAAAGGAAGAGTTAAGGATAAATAAAGTTCTGAAACCATAAGTAGTTGAGTAAATGGAACTATTAAAAAAAAGAAGAGGACAAACCACTGGGCGAATTTTCTTGTAGAGGCTATATGTTAATAATGGCGGGAACTTGACTAGCATGCTTCCAATGGCGTCTTCACGGATGCCTATGTCCTGTAGAAATCTTACCTTCAAAATGAAAAGAATGTATTTGCATATCAGTATGGAATAAAACTTGATCATCTTAGTTGTAATCATCAAATTTAAGGAGTATTTACTCTTATAATATTATTAAGTTAGCACATATAATGTTAACATTTTTACCAATTCACATAGATATAAGGAACATGTTTCCTACGTGGCATGTGCAAGGAATTCTTACATGTCAGGAATTTTGGCTTGGCAGTATAGATGGAGGAATAAAAGGCATCCATGTGTTTTGTGAATCACCCTTCACCTATGTCATGATTTCAGTCCATTCTAATAACCTCATTTATGTCAAAAAGAAAAAAGGAGGCTCCTTTTTGACCATTTCTTTGCATTGCATAGGTAGAGTGGGACTGTACATTTGAATAAATATAGAAGCTCGTCTTTCAGGTGCAACAATCTACATCAGACGTGCCATTCCAATGAGAGTGCTATCAGAATAAAGTCAAGGTCCAGGGTGAATGTTCTGTTGTTACTAGTTCTAGCCTTGCTAGAAAGCAATATAGATCATCTCCAGATTAACATTATTGCCCACAAGAAAGTTATTTCTGGCAAGCACACACACTCAAAGCAAACAAAATTGTACCTTTGGTGCAATAGTTGTCTCCAGATCAACACAGAAAACCATTGGTTTTATTGTAAGTATTCTCCTCATACCATCTCGGCGAACCCCAAGGTAATACATATACTTAACAAAAGGCTTCCACCTCTCCTCAATGCTGCAACCCATCAATTGTGGCTTGAATGCTAGTAATCTCCCAACCTCTTCAGTACTAAGGCCAAACTCTTTAAGGTAATTAACCTGAAAATGCTCAACATTTCCCTCAATGGCTTTAGAAAAAAAGGAAAAAAAAGGAAAGCAAGAAAGAAAAAAGATGCACCATCCAAACAACAAACCTCCTTACCACTGTTGCATGGACACAAACATGGGAGTTGGAATCAGCAAGATGAAAAAAATGGACTCAGTACACATCTAAAATCAGAATTTACTTACAATTAAAGAATTTCTGTAATTTGCGACTTCTATCATCATTTATCTTTAGATGATTGCTTAAATAAGTTAAATGGTATATCTTTACTACTTAAACATTCAAAAAGAAAATGTTAAAACAGACCTTGACCATTTAGGAAAGTCCATGCAACACTACGTTTTAAGAGTTATCAAATATCAAGCATCATTAGCCTCCAGAGCTAGTTAAAATTAGATACCTTAACGTTCATCTCATCAAGGGTTAGGAATCCGAGTGCCTTTGGATAATCAAAGACCATGGTGCCAAAATCCTTCTGGTTCATACCCATGTCCAAATAGAAACTCACACGTGATTTGATCTCTTCAAAGGTGTAAGACAAAAGTTGGGGACATCGGCTAACAACAAACCCCATCCATTCCCTCCTGACTCCATTACTTTCTAGATAACCAACAATCTTATCCAGCTCTTCAGTGTTGCGCTCTAGAACAGTTGGTCCAGCCTTTACAAGTGTGGCACCAATCAACTCCCCCTTCACATAAATCGATTTCAACCAATCAACCAGCTGCCTTATTGACTCTAGGTTTCGGCAACACTTGCAAATAAGCTTCCCAATTTGGGGATAAGTCAATGAGTTGTGCTTCAACCACCTAAACAAGCACACCATCAATCATTATATTGAGAAGGCCCATACCAGTGTGTGTTTTCTCTTCTTTTCTCAATAACGAGTCAGCGAAAGATTGAGCAAGAATTGCGCTGATAAGCCTAAAATAACGACTTTAATTGAAATAGTGAATCCTGATCTTTGTACCTGATAAGAGGAATGACATTGGAATTGCTTATGACGGTCTTAGCGCGGGCATTGAAGGTGGAGTGCGAGAAATCTGGTAAGCGCTTCATGGAAGCTGCTTCAATCATGATGTAGTCGATGAAGTCGGGCAAACTAGACACCAAATTGGTGGAGTAAGTAATACTGAACCTGCCACCGCGCATGGCTTCCTTGAAAATCTCAGCGGTAACCTTACGCCGTATTTCAATGGCTTGAATTAGCATTTTGTCGTCATCGATATCGTGGATTTCCCCTCGGAATAGTTGGTGAAGAGGTGGGGGAGATGCTCCACTTTCGGCCCCACCATGGGATCGTAAGTAGATGGATCCTGGAAATTGAGGGGTTCTTCTTTTTACGAGGGACATCTCCAAGAGTCTTATTTTCTCTTCTTCTTCTTCTTCTTCAAGTGTTGTTTTTGCTACTATTACTTGTTGTTCTTCTTCTTCCTCATCTTTCGGCTCCAAGTCTTCCGGTAGCTGAGAGACGTGACGGAGAAGGAGAGCCGTGGACCTTGCGTTGTGCTTTCTGAGAATTTGTTCGTTTCTTCCTGTATCCTCGTGGTCTGGTGTCTGAGCAGTTTGATGGTCGCGATGGAGAACAGAGGAAGAGACAACCAAAACTTTAGAGCGTCCAGTTGCAATGGTAGTGGTGAAGTGGAGATTATTTGATGTATCGGAAGGGTTATAGCGGCGACGGTGGCAGCCGGAGACATGGGCGGAGGGATATAAATGCTGGTGGCGGTGTTGTGGGCAAAGCAACATCTTTCCCTCGTGAACTCTCAGAACTTCAGAAGAACAGGATAGAACGGCGCGAGTTAACGTAGACGGTGAGGTCACGTGCATCACGTGCAGTCATATGACGTGTCATATATTTATTGGACGAAACAGGAACTTTCCTGTTTCTTCAGTAAAACAGGGGTTTGAACCAGTTGAGACTTGAGACTTGTAAGAGGTATTGCAGATTTACAGCGGGCAAGAGGGTGCGGAGCGGGCAAGAGGGAGGTGAAGTGCGCCACCTTCAGGCTTCAGCTTCAACTTGAAGAAGTCGACATGATTCGGGCGGTGATGGTGATGAATACACAGGGCAAGCCTCGGCTTGCCAAATTCTACGATTTTCAGGTCTGTCTTATTTAGTTTTTTTTTTCAATTTATTCCATTCGTGCATTTATAACGAATCAAATCTTTTCTTTTCCTTTTTTTTCCTCCTTGTTTAATCAAATAGAAATTTTTGAGAATAATCAAGTAGTCGTTGAATTGAAAGGTTAGCCCCCGGAGAAGCAGCAGGAGCTGATTCGGAGCGTTTATGGAGGTTGTAAGCACTCCTCTGGTCTTTCTCGTTATTATTATCGCTGGATCGCTAGCTGTCTTGTTTTAAGGTTCTAGACGGTTTCAACGCTACAAGTGTTCACAAATTGTAATGCTTAGACGGTTAGACCAGAAAAGCTCAAACACAATCGATTTAGGACCCATCGTCTTGGAACTTGTACCATCTTGAGCTACCATTACCAGAATTTATTCGCTTTATAGGCAGTCCCTTCGTTTTATTTTTCAACCTTTTATCCCTGTCTCTTTTCTATATTACATTTCGTATCTGTTACAATTAGATTTAGCTTTCGGTTATGTTTCCTTTCATACTTATCAAAAAAAAAAAGTTTCCTTTCATGCAGTTCTGTGCAGTAGAGCTGAGAATGTAAGCAACTTTGTCCAGGCTGATGCAATTTTCGGTCCGGTATGCCATCTCTTTGAACTACTACTCAGTCGCTATTATCATTATTCATTAGGGTAGATAAAAAAAATGCTGGGCTTTATATGCAGCTGAGCAGCAATCTCTCTATAATTGTCACCACTTGTGCTTTGGTACTGTTCCACTTCATCCTTCTGCTGAAGCATCTCATGATCGGAAATGAACTGATTGTTGTCAAAAGTAGCTAGGGATTGATATGAACTTCAATAAACTGAACTTGAGGAAGTTAGAAACTAATATAGTCATGCAATTTGAGTTGGGAGCATGTTCTCCTGAGTTACATCATGACCTTGCCAAATAGAATCTTGCAATCCTTAGATCATTCTTGTTTTGGTGACATTATCAGTTTTCAATATTCCAGAATCAGTGGAAGAAATACTACTTGGTTGATTAGAATGTCAGATACGGCAAAAGAAAACGAGGCATTGATTTGAGAACAATATATATGATGAACAAGGTTCTATTGCCTAAATGGCTATGACATTTTTTTGGTCAAAGGTAAAATAAAAATTTTACCACTGAAGAAGAAGATAATGATACAACCTGCCAAACAACAAGGAGGGACCCATGACCACCCACACACATCACTAGCACAATACAACCAGAACATTTCATCCAGAAACCATTTATTAAAAAAACATCGAGAAAACAACAGGTTGAAGAAATTGCCAGATGGATTGATGATCAAGCTCCTTTACAGCTGAGATTCAAGACCCCACCCTGCCCACCTAGATGTTGATAAGTTCTTCCTTTGATTTGTGTAACTTTTGAAAAAATCCTTCTATTCCTCTCAGCCAAATGGTCCACACAACTGCTGCCAGCACAACATCCTATACCAGCTTCCCTTTCTTACTCATACCTCTTTGCTGCCAAGATAACTGGAGCTCCAACAAAGACCTAGGCATCGCCTAGCTAAGCTGAGCAGCACTCAGAAAATGTAACCAGAGAACCTGAGAGAAATGACAATGGATGAACAGATGTTCCACACTGTCAGCATGCTTCCTACATAACCCACACTATTAATCCAGAATCTGCATTCCTCTTCTTAGAAGGCTGTCTCTTGCTAAACACTTTGAGGGGGGCTACTTGTCTCCAGATGAAGAAATTAACCTTTGTGTAGAAAGCGATGCAATTTGGCAAAGGGTTATTGCAATTTGCAAATAAATATAGGGCCACAAACAAGGATGGGATTCCCTTCCTACTTCTGTCACCTATGGTTTTACTGTGTGGATGGGTATCTGGATGCATATGGAGGACTTCAAGAAAATAGCTCAAGTTGATTTTCCCAGTCATCTTTGATCTAGCTGCTAATAAAGAAGCCACATTCTATCAATGTTATGAGATGATGGCCAGGGAACTGGGGTGGAACTGTGGAATGTGTGGCTCTGGAGTAATTTGAATGACTAGGAAGTTTACCTTAGTTTTGCTGTCCCAAACAAGTGAACATCAGATCAGCCAACTCAGATACACTTGTATGGATTATGGAATCTTGATTTAAATGGTATCTTTACAATCAATTCTTGTTACCTATCATTGATTTAAATGGTGTCTTTATACATGAGTCACAGACTATGTTATATGTATTATTGGGAACTCTGTTCCCTTTTTTTGATACTAAATATAATACAAATGTTCACACTTATTCAAAAGAAATTGAAATGGATACTAGAATTTTGTCCTTTTGAAATTATTTGCCATCGTTTCTTTCTGTTGTTATTTCGATGTCAATACTTGCTCTGTTTTGCTTTGTCTGCTTATTTCTTGAGCATTTTGAAGGGCTAGAAATTTGATACCCATTTCTCCCTCTTTCTTGCAGGATACTTTGATGGTATACAAGCATTATGCAACCCTTTACTTTGTCTTTGTGTTTGATAGTTCTGAAAATGAACTAGCTATGCTTGATCTTATACAAGGTAATTTCCCAAGTAAAACCATTCACATTTTCTGGACACAAAATATCTATATCTCTTCAAACTGGTTGCATCCTGAATGTAGTAACTTCAAGAGAGTTTATCAGCCCCTTCCCTTATATGCATAATTGCATATTTTGAAGTATGAAAAAATATAAGTGGTTTCTAACCAGGCCAACTAGGTTCTTCTATATACAACCTACACTATTTCTGCCATGTGGATGGATGATGTGGCCACTCCACGTATCTCTCAGATAATTGACCTTGTTGATTTGCAACAGTTTCACTTGCTCTGTCCACATCATCCATATTCCTCCAACATCTATTGGAGCTTCCATAAGAGGTAGTGACAGTTGAAAATTTTAATTTGTTGATTCAAAAAAATGCTCCAAAATGAATTAGTTCGGGGTCTTTGGGCATGTGGCATGGTCTCTTTTCTGAAACTTTTCTATGAATAGAACATTAGGGGAACAAGTGGGATGAAGAGTGTCATGTGGACAATACCCAGGTTGCCTATGACTCCTGTGGATGACTTGAATAACCCCATTATCATTTTCATCTAAGCCTTGTCCCAACTCCCAACTATATGAGGTTAACTACATGACATGATCTGTCATTCCATTCTATTTAGTGTATATCATCATCATCATCATCATCCAAGCCTTATCCCGAGTCCCGACTATATGAGGTCAACTATATGAATCCTGTTTTGCCATTTCGTTCTGTTTAATGCCATGAACCCTGTTCAGTGCCATATCCTTTGTTAAATTATGAGCCATTAAATCATTTCTCACTACTTCAAAGCATGTACTTTTTGGTCTGCCCATATCTCTTTTAGCCCTTTTAGGTTGTAACAGATCTTCTTACTGATGCTGTAGATGGCATTCTCTGCACATGACCAAACCATCTCAGTCTACTTCCCCTCATTTTATCACTTATTGGATCTACTCCTAGGCTCCTTTGGATAAATTTGTTATCTCCCTATCACTTAAAATTGAACCACCTCATATTTGCTTAAATTACCATTTTCCCCTAGTGACTTCCTTTCAACCTCAAACCTCAAAAGTCACTTACTCAACAGTGTTTTGTTCATTGTTCTAATTCGCCCGAGGCCTGAACCATCCATTTTAGGACAACAAACCCAGTCTCACTTAACTAGATAGAACTTCTTTCCCATCTCCCTTCATCCCATGAGAAGTCTCTATAAGTTTGAATGTTCTTGATCTGATTGATAATCAATTCTGGAACCTTCACAAGAGGCAAATAATAAATGGGCATACTAGAGAAAATTCTCAAAAATTGTACCTGCTCCAAGAATTACTTTTCTCCCAAACAATGCAATGGAAGTCAACTAGAGCCTTGGTAGTCTCCTTAAATGAATCCAAAAGCCTGCATGAGTAATAATCTACTTTACATTTTTTGGTAATAAAATAAAATTTATTAAAAGGAAATAGAGAATGATACAGAGAAGGGGTGACCAAAGGTCACCTGAGAAAAGAAAGAAAAAAAATCTAGCCCCACTCACTTCAACCCAAGAAAAACAACTCAACCCAGAACAAACAGCCATAAATAAACAAAACTCACCCTTAACAAGAAGCCTCAGGACACTCCAACAACCCACTCAGCCCCAATTTTAGAGAACCAAATTCCCATATGCCCAAAAAGAAAAAATGAAACAGATGTGCTGCCAACCACCCAAAATGGCATACCAGAACTTTCTACTTCTTCTTTACAATCCTTGAAGGCTTCAACGACTTCTTGTTTGGTCCAATCCCAAATAATCTAGTTACTTAATTGAACATCCAGAATTTGCCCATACATCACAGTTAGCCAGGCAGATGTACAGAAATCAAGGCAGAATATTGGATATGGGGCCATGCCATTTGTCTTTTTCTTTGGGCACATGCATATTATCCTTTACCCAGAGGAGCAAGACCTACCATCAAATGTGTTCTATCATGAAAGTTAGCCCTAGATTGACAAATCTGATTTGGTTGGTTGGATTTTTGGACTATGCCCCTTTGTTGTCATTGGCTTTCTGCCTGAACAGGGATTTAATGATCAATGGATCATACATTCTATTCTAGGGATAGCCAGATGGGGTGTGGTGAGGGGATAATCAACTTTTCAAGGTGGACTGGACTGGTTGATAAAGGGAACTATCAAGTGGTGATTGATTGGTCCTCTTTGGTGGAGGAAGGCCTAGGGTCTCTTAAGATTTCTGATGAGAAAGACAAAACACATTGGCCGCTACCTCCTTGAATAGCTAATTCAGTTGGATTCCCAGATTGGCTTATGCTTTAGCAGATTGTTAGCATCTTAGGACATCTCTAAAAGGGTTAAAGGGGGTATTATCCTTTAAAGTTGGCCAAATGCCCAAACTACATGTATTTAGCATTTTGGTGACCCCAAGATACAATACAATACAACTGATACTGGGTGTATCGGATTGATACTTTGAAGGGGTTTTTTTTTTTTGATAATCAACAGAAATTTTCATTAGTAAGACAAGCTGGAAAGTACAAATGTACAATGCCAACTCCAAAACAAGGAGAGCACATCATAATAGAAAAGTCAGAAAACAGATTAGACTACAGAAGTTTTTCTTATTGTTTTTCCTCTTTCATTTGGTCAGACTTTTCTATTGTATATGTAGAATTGCGCTGCTATTTCCCTTGCTGTTGGACTTTTGTAACAGCAGGTCTCCTCATCAACATCAATAATCTCTCTTTTAATTATGGCTATTGATCAAAAGAAAGATCTCAGTTTGATGAGGATCAGAAAACGATAGGTGTCTAGTATTGTCACACATCCTTTTATGAGCAAAAAAGTGATCTTGACATTACATTATTCATTTGTTCTACTGTGCATGTAATTTACTTCCTTTACTGTTATTAGGGAATAATTCATGAGCGCTCTGTTAAATCGACCTGTCTTGGCTTTCAGTATTTGTTGAGACGCTGGACAAATGCTTCAAGAATGTGTGTGAACTTGACATTGTGTTCAATTTTAGCAAGGTTCAATTTCTTCCACTGCTTGAATTAATTTGTTTTTTTTTCTTGTCAGTGCATGTCATAAGGTTAAAAGTAAGAAATAAGAGAAGATGCTTTTATGGACAAAATCTTTGGTGATGCTCTTTTTTTGGAAATTTAAGAATATTATTTGCATGTTTTATTAAAACAGACTGAAAAAGAAAAAAAATATATATCAAAATGACCTTTTACTAGATAGAAATGCATGGATAAATCTTAATCAATCTGATTCTCTGCAGATGCATACTATTTTAGATGAGATCATATTTGGAGGTCAAGTGCTTGAAACGATTTCAGCAGAAGTAATGAAGGCTGTTGATGAAATCACCAAGTTCTCTCTCTCTCTCTCTCTCTCTCTGTGTGTGTGTGTTCAGTCCATTCTATATGTGCGATGGCCAAACTCAAATGATTAGAATAAGGCATTGTTCTTTTTGGCTTCATGGAGGTAAACAACAGGGGGTATCCCGTCCCCTAACCCATAAACCCCCCGCCCCCCTCCAACCATGCTGACAGCCCCAAGCCTCTGCTACAACCAGCCAGAGAGAGTAATAGATATTACATATTGACGCTAACGCTAAGTGCATCAAAAAGGCCACTTGATTAACTGGGCTGTTTATCCATTGCCTCAGGTTGGAGAAGGCCTCAAATGCAGTAACACTTGTTCCCAAATCAGTTTCTGGCTGGCAGAGTCGATGATACGTGACAATTGGTTTGCAACGTAACTGTGGATGCATTGTTCTTGCACATTTAAGCAATTTTCGGTGTCATTCCAACATTTGTATTTGATATTGGCATTGTGAATGGAAGTAAAACCTTTGAAATCAACTATCAGAAAAAAGTAAATTTTGGAGGGTTCATGTGGTAGATTTTTGTTTCTGTAAATAAAATACCTGGTTAAACACTTAAATGATAACATATAAAGTGCAGTTGTTTTGGTTTAGGTTAAAGCCTAAAGGTTCATAATGGAAGAGGCAAGTGGTACTTCCCCGGGCGAATTTTTATTGTAAGCAGTTTGCTGGCTTCCACTATCGTGCCAAGATCAGCTTTTTAGTGCTCACAAGACTGTGCTCACACTATTCATAATTCCTTTTCTCTCATAAAAAAAACAGAGATATTCCCAGGCTGCAAGTGACTGTGAACGACATGAACACTGTTTTGTAAGCACTGAAGCCGATAACGGGTGTGCTTATCTATTCTGCATATTCTTTATAGAGTAGGTCAATAATTGTACAGTTTGCACTTGTCCCATGTCAGAAATGCATCAATTCTGGATGCATAGCTGGGTGAACTAACGTGTTACATAGGGTGAAATAGGGGTGTCAATGGACCAGTTTTGGATCCATCCAAATTGACTGAGACATTGAATTGGGCCAGTCTAGACTTAATGGTCCAAAATATTTATTGGATTGGAACTGGTCCATTCTTAATGAATTTATATTGGATTGAGTGAGGTTAAACCAATATCCAATCCATTAATAGAAGACAAGAATACAGGTGTTAAAAGACCAAATTTAGTTTGGAACCAATCTAAATTAAAACCAATTTGAACAGATTGGACAGCCCAGACATTGAATTGGACTGGTCCAAAATATTTATCGGATTAGATTGGACCTGATCCATCTGTAATGGACTCATATTGGAGCGGATTGGACTGTACCAAATCTGGTCCAATTGACACCCCTCCGGTGAGCCCTGTTGACAGCCCGGGCTGTCGAACGTAGGCAGCCACAGTTCAGGTCAAGGATTATGAAATGTTAAAACTCTATTGAGATATGGGGATTTTGCGGTTTGGTTCTGATCCCATAACCCTGAACGCAAGCCCCAGACCCCCGGGACAATAGGCGTGGGAAATATAGACAGAAACAATTAGATTTCAGTTGAGCATATTCAGATCTAGAGAAAACCAGAGTTGGGCTCCAAGTGAGCTTTCGTAGGTCGTAGCTTTCATTTAGCAGATCCTAACCGACCATGTTACACTACATCAAGGTCGAAAGAAAACTCAATAAATAAACTTAGAAATTAAAAGACAAAACGACGACGACAACACAAAAATCCATCCGTCTCTCCTCAGTTCAATGTCTCAATGACTTCATATCTTGAATAACCACACGTGCAGCATTACGTCCAGGTGCTCCCATCACCCCACCTCCAGGATGGGCTCCACTTCCACACAGATAGAGTCCCTGGACTGGTGTCCTATAACCTGACCTGCATGCATTAATCAGGTATACTGACATGAGTATGCAATGAGAACCTGAAAAGAATGTATCTCTAATAATTCCACCTCAATAAACTATTCTGCTTTGAGAAATACCATCCTTTAACAGGCCGCATTAAGAAGAGTGAATCCAAGCCCATTGCACCATGAAATATGTTCCCTCCTGTCAAATTTGTTCAAGTAATGGACAACATGGTGAAATGGTGTGAATAGCGCATCTCTTGTATGATTCATATACACTAAAAATTAACAAAGCTAAAACGACAGTTCCCATTTCTTTCAGAAGGTGATTGCATTAGCCTTGAACATGGAGGTCTACAGTGAAATGCATGGTTTAATAATATAATATCCATCCGCAGAATGCATTAGAATTGAAACTGATTAATACGCAACTTCAAAGTATGCCTCCCTAAAAACAGACCTGTATTTTAAGAATTTATCATTATTTCTCAGGTTAGGGCAGCAAAACTTACTCTCCTGAAAGTTAAAAGTCATAAAGATAAATTTACAAGATATGAATTTAGTTTTCCGTAGTCTTGGAAAAATTTACAATTTTCTTTCACAATTTCTGATCGTAACTTTGAATAGTTACTAACATTCTACCACACATCATTTACATGGAAAATCCAGAACACCCATTCAATAGTTGACCTCCACGATTAACCATCTGCATAGCACTCCCATCTTAGTGCCCAGAAGCCCTAAGAGAGTAAGAGGGGCACATTTCATGCGTGCTTCACAAATCTAGTAACTTAGGAGTGAAATCACTATTAAATCATGCTTCATAATAATATAAGCGACAATTCTCGACCTCAAGCTACTCATATTGAGATGCTGTTTTATGGACAGTATATATGCAAATATGTTTTATTTTATATTAAATATTTACTATTTTATATAAAATATAAATATTTATAACACAAATATTCATGAGTAGACACATATCAACACATGAGTCATCTCAAGTAGAGTTGTCCTCCTAGGCAAGGCCTTCATTCCCATTCTTGAGCAATGTGGGGCTTGGGACAAAACTCAATGGTAACACTCGCTATTGAGTGTTGTTCCATATCCCACGTTGCTCAAAAATGGGAATGAAGGCCTTGCCCTCATCTATAAAAGGAAAGGTAAGCCAAGCTAAACCAAGTTTAGGAATTAAATGAGCCCATTCCCTTATTTTTTGTGCAATAGGCCCGAAACCTAGCCAAGACCAGCCTAGTTTCGGCTTGTGCAATGTTTTCTTAATGTATTATATATATTATTTAATTTAAAATTTTCTAAATAATTAATTTTTTTTCATTAGGCCCAGAAAGCCCGTAAGCCCAGCCTGGGCCTGTGTAGGTCCGGACCTGGGCTTGTAATTTAGGGCCCAAGGTGTGGGCCGGGCAGGACCCGGGCCTATGCTGAAGCCTTTATCATGGGTGCCGAATCCGACCCAGCCCATGATCACCCCTAATTGAGACATAACAACAACTCTACTGGTAGACAAATTAGCCACCCATTGCCAACATCTGATAATGTCATTGGTGGAAAAAGAATTAAAAAGCCTTATTGGTTTAACCCTGTGAACAACTTCTGTTGTGATGTTTTCCTATAATTTGAAATCATGAACTGTATTTTGAGATCTAAAAATCAGACTTGTTAGAGGATGACTTACCACCAAAGCTGAGAGGCCTGAGATGATGATAAATGAGGATCTACCCACTGGAAAGGCACTTGGGCAACTTCTAATAGGGCAAGAGCCAAACACGATTATACATTAAAAAGCCCACAAATCTAAGATTTTATATGTTCAATATCTTTCCCATTAAGCAATATTCCAAGATTTTCATTTGCATCTTATCCACTCTTTTCCTTTTGATTTTACACAAAAAAAAAACACTCAAGAAAAAACCAATAAAATTTAAACCTGCTGAAGGCTATGATTTTCAGTGGAAATACCTGTAAGGCCAAATTCTCTCTCAAGATCTACTGGTGTCAACATGTCGTAGTCGATAACTGATGAACTAAAACCAGGTGCATATTCATCAATCAAGGAGAAACATCTTTGAGCAAATGATTCCTGAGAAGTTATTTGCCAATTAGTGGGTTCCAGAGAAACATCTGTAACATTTGCATCAAGGTCAAAGATGAATGTACCAGAACATTTGTAACATTATCAGGATCCAGAGAAACATTTGTAAAATTTTATCATGGTCAAAGATGATTGTAGTACTGATGAAGCCTAGAGTGAAAAGTGAATGGGGCTTAAGCTAAACACAACCCACTCTTCAGGCCAAGTTGAGATGACATTTTCAATCGTTGCTTTGCCTTAGGCTTGAAACCCCCAACCCATCCTCTAGAAAGAGCCTGCTGGGGAGAGGGGTTAGAACAACCTTTCCAACTCAAGTCCAATAGTGCACATCACTTTTGCAACCCCACAAAGATTACAATTTAACGAGTGTTAGAAATAAAACATACAACAAAAAAAAAAAAAACTAGCATGAAGAACAGAGCTAACACTTACAGATATAAGTCTAACTCACCCTAAATGCCAGATCTTCCCAGCTACCCACTGATGGTCTATAGGGTGTATATTGAACAAATAAGTTAATCACATGCTTACCTGTAGGATGCAAAGAAAAAAGTTCAATATAGAATAGAAACCATACCTTGTAGTAATAACAATGGATGAAAACAAGAAATAATTAGTCCCTTGAGGAAATATCTAACCACTTGATAACATATTTGAGCATATAAAACCATGAAAAAAACTAAGACCATATTTAGATGAAGTTTTGAACTCTGATACTTTAAACATAACAAGGCCTTCTAAGCATCTCATCTAATCTCCAGGCAGCCAGCTGACAGAAAAACAAGCAATCACAGATTGTGAACTCATAATAAAAAGATAACTACATTTTTGTGCTTCTTTCTATTGTATTGTGATATAGTTTTCCTGGTGATATAGATAAAAAAGGTAAAAGATAATCACCCAGCTTACTGGTGCAGTCCAAGCCTCAGTTGTTTCTTGCCTTCTGGGTACATAACCATCCACCATGACCTCGTTGAGCTCCATTCTAGTCAGTGCTCAATGTGCTTGCTGTTACCATAATGTTAAGGCATTAGCCTCTTGCTCCTTGTTATCAAAAATCTAGGAATAACGTTCACACCAAACACTCCAAAGAAAAGGGGGGTGGACCCAAAGAAAGGATTATTTGGTTAAATGGGAAGTGGTTAGTGGACCAAAAGAAAAGGGGGGTCTGGGTTTAGGAAACATTGTCATTAGAAATGCTGCCTTATTAGGTAAATGGTTGTGAAGGTTCCACTTTAAAGGATATAGGTTGTGGCACAAGGTAATTGAAAGCATTCATGGTTTGGATTGTATTGTAATGGTTGGGATGCTAAAATTGTTCCCCACTCAACCTCAGCTTCCCCTTGGAAAGCAATTCATGAGGTTTACCTTATTTTTATTAATTCCATTCGATTTGATGTGGGAAAAGGGTGATAAAATCCATTTCTGGGAAGACCTTTGGGTAGGGAAAATGCCATTAAAAGACAATTTTCCTGAACTTTTTGTCCTCTCCAACCTTAGGTGAAACTATCTCTAGAATGGGAACACCTTCTCCTTCCAGTGTCAACTAGAATCTTGGGTTTAGAAGAGGCCCAAGGGAAAATGAGTGTACCTCCTTGATTCGCTTGCTTGATATTCTATAGATAGTTGTTCTAGACCCAAACCTGGAGGATTCCAGAATTTGGACTGTTTCCACAGATGGTCTGTTTACTGTTTCTTCATTTTTTAAACATCTTGTCTCACCTAGATCTCAAGGGGTGGACTTCCTGGTGAAAGAAATTTGGAGTAAGCCTATCCCACCAAAAATTCAAGCTTTCTGCTAGGAAATTTTACTTGGTAAGGTAAATGCGTGTGATATGCTGAAAAAAAGGCCTATTTCTTGTCTCTCTCCTCATATGTGCTTCTTGTGCAGGGATAGCGGAGAGACCCTCTCCCATTTATTAACCTCATGCTCCTTTGTACTTTGAAACTGAGAGTTTTCCCCTTCTCTTTTTGGCTGCAAGTGAGATCCCCTTCAAGAGGTGGTGGACATCTTCAACCTGAACTTCTTGAGGCAACCAAAGAAAAGGGGAGGTTATTGTGAACTACTAAAGCAACAATTAGTTGGGTAGTGTGGGAAGAAAGGAATAACAGAATTTTCACCAGAAAGAGTTTAACTTTGGTGGAGGTAATAGATTGCATAAAAGTGAAGGTTGCACTATGGGCAAAGACTTTGGACTGCTTCCAGATTTTCTCAGTCAATGATATACTAAGAGTTTGGACTTGAGTAACACGATCCTCAAGAGATAAGGAGAGAATTAGAATGGAATGGAAACCCCCCAGAAGGCACCATAGTAAAGTTGAATTTTGATGGGAGTTCCTTAGGTAACACAGGTTTCGCAGGCATAGAAGGTTTAATCAGAAATTCCGAGAGCAGAATCTTGGCATTATACTCAGGTCCACATGGCATTGCAAATTCTGCGAAGGCTGAATTGATGGCTTTGCTACAAGGATTGCGGTTGGCTAAGAAACTAGGCCTTAGACAGCTAGAGGTGGAAGGAGATTCTAAAGTAATCATCCCTTGGGCAAGTTATACTTAACATACCCCATGGAAGCTCAAACATGTTCTTAGGGAAGTGGAAAGGATTGTGAAGGATATAGGTGCTGACTTCAAGTGGGTGAGAAGGACTGCAAATAGGCTAGCTGATTTCCTTGCTAAGCAAGGGGCTACAAGACAACAACATTTTTGGGCTTCATTGTAAACTACCCTTGTTATTTGGGATGACATTTTGGTCATCAAGTTGTACTCACATATATAATTAAAGTAATAAAATTATCTTTTGCTAATAAAAACAAAACACTCCAAAGGACCACAGCTCTTGTAATTTGCTATATAATTTTCCCCTTATCATATTGATGGGGTTCACTGGAGAAGAGAAGAGGTCTAACATGTTCAAAGATTGTGTTCAGTTAGCACCATATAAAAGAGAAGTGGTTGCATACCTTTATTTTAGAAGGGTATGATATAAAATAGTGGTTGATATTCTCACCACTCTTTAGGCAAAGGATGCACATACAAGGTGAGAGGCACCAAGTTTTCCATCTTCATTTGAATATTTCATCTATGTTGATTATCTTCATTGAGGCTTCCCAACAAAGTGCTTCGATCTTTTTTGGTAAAGTGGGGCCACCCCAAAGGGCTTTAGCCATAACAGGGTTAGGAGAGGGTAAGGAATCATCAAGAACTTTAAAGAATGGAGAATAAGAGGAGCCTAATGGGTCAACAGTTCAGAGACTCTGATCATGATCCTCCTGAAGAAGGAAAACACCGTTAAGAAACCTATAGGTATATTTCTTGTCCACTTTCAAGATCCCTGTTAACGTAGCAGATCGAATTGAAAGAAGATGAGGGATTTTCTGTGGGAACCGGTGAATCAAAGAAGGATCATCTAGTGAAGTGGGAAATTGTCACTAAGAAGCGAGAGGATGGTGGTTTAGGTATGGTAATATTAGGTTAAGAAACCTAGCCTTGTTAGGAAAGTGGTTATGGAGATTTCCCTTAGAGCAGGATAGCTTGTGGCATTAGGTGGTTGGGAGTATTCATGGTAATGGCAGCAAATGGATGGGATGCTGTTGTCGACCCCATGGCTTCTCATTTTTCCCATTGGAGAGCAATAATTGGAGTCCTACCTTCTTTTCTTCCTTTCATAAGGTGTGATGCTTGCTCAGGTAATAAAATTTTGTTTTGGGAAGACACTTGGGTTAGGAACAATTCTCTTAAGGATAGGTTCCCAGTTATGTATTCTTTGTCTTTAAACAAGTTGAAGGTCATTTCCTCTTTTCATGTAAATGAGGGTTCTTGGGACTTGGGTTTGAGGAGAGGGTTGAAGTACTCAAAAGTGGCTGTTGGAAATGAGTTGTTCTCTTTGTTGGATGCTGTTTTTCTAGAGTCCTCAGGGATTTTTTTTCCTGCTCTTTGTTTTTCAATGCTTTACTCAAGGTTCAAAATTTCGATACATATTGGACTGTACCGGGGGCTTCCCGATACGCCCCTCTAGGGGGTGTTTCAGGATTTCGACCAGTTCAGGGGTGGACGAACATTAAACCGGCCCCTCTGAACCGGATTTGAAAAAAAAAAACTAAAAAAGAAATTAAAAAAAAAGCTATATACTGCCCGATATGCCTCTATCGGCGTATCGATATTTTGAACCATGGCTTTATTTAGTTCTGTTGTTGTTCCTACCCCTTTCCTTTCAAAAAAAGTGTGGGATACTCCTGCTCCACCAAAGGTTAGGGCTTTTTGCTGGGATGTGGTTCTCCAAAAGGTTAACACTTTGGACATACTTCAAAGAAAAAGGAAAGATTGTTGCCTTTCACCACATGTTTGTTGCCTTTGCCTGGGGAGTGGTGAGACAGTGGCTCATCTATTTATTTTCTGTCCTTTTACTTCTTGTATCTGGGACTGGTTTTCTTCTCTCTTTGGTTGCAAGTGGACTCCTTCATGTGTGCAGAACCTTTTTGACTCTAGCTTCTTCCAGTTACCAAAGAAGAGAGGCAAGGTAATGTGGAAAACAACAAGAGCGGTTATTATTTGGTCAGTGAGGGAGGAAAGAAATAATAGGATCTTCCAAGGGCAGGAAAGACCCAAGGAAGCACTTTAGAGGGCATCACCAACAGGATCATACATTGGATGAAAGCCTTGGAGCTCTTTAAGTCCAAGGCATGGAGTGTCGTAGCTGGTTCCTCATCTTCCTATCTTTCAGTCCAGGACAGTTGGTCTCCGCCGCCTTGCTCTAGAGTGAAACTGAATTTTGATGAAAGCTCTCTAGGCAACCCAGGCCCCTTGGGTGTAGGGGGAGTTTTTAGAGATGAGAGGGGTAGTGTGCTGGCCATGTATTCAGGCCCTATAGGAGTAGGAGACTCTTTAAGGGCAGAAATTCTTGCTTTACTCCAAGGTCTCAGATTGGCAAAGCAATGGGGACTGCAGAAGTTAGAAGCGGAGGAAGACTCCAAACTGGTAATAGGCTGGCTGCAATCTAGAAGCTTGGGCACCTGGATTTTCAGACAACAGCTAAGAGAAATCTCGAGCATAGCAAGGGAGATTGGGGTGAGGTTTAATTGGGCAAGAAGATCAGCAAATGGTATGGCTGATGCTTTAGCTAAACAAGGAGTCAATGGGCAGGAGTTGTTTTGGGCCTGTTTTTGAGGCATTTTTATCAAAGGGTCCCCCATCCGGCCCTTGGATGGTGGCAGTTGTAATCTTTATCCATTATTGTTAATGAAAGTTACTGTTTCCCGTAAAAGAAAAAAAAGAGCACCGTTAAGAAACTCAACAAATCCATCCACCTCCTGTACTCATGATTTCTAAAACCATGCCTAAAACCAAATTTTCAAGAAATGCCCATAGGAGAGAAACACACAATGTCCAAATTTGGTTTTGTTCTTGTAAGAGGAAATAGAATAAAGATAAGGATAACCACAACTAAATGGTTTATCTCTTAGTTCCCATCAACATCCTTCTTGGAATTTGGCTCTATACCCTGAACACAGGATCACATCTCACAAAGCTTAAAATACAAAAAGGAGAGATATTTACCAAATCTCAGTCCCGGCAATCCATGATCTTGGGAGGGTGGACAGGATGTTTTGACATAACCGTTGGCATTTTCTTGCATGAAGTTGCAGCTCTCAGACTCAAACCCACATTCTCATACTTGTCGGCCTGAGTTTTTTATCATTGCTCCAAGTAAGTAGAATAGCCCAAGGATAAAGTTAAAGTATACTACTATCAAGAATCCTAAAGAAAGAAAATGAGAATGATCCTAAGGAATTAGAAAACCAGACCATCAAATCCCTACCATGATTCACGAAGCTATTGATAAAACCATTTTACTCTCATGGTCCCTAAGGCCTCTCTAAACCCAAGATCCCAACCTAGAGGATGAGAAAGATACCATACTTGGTATGGTTAGCTGTTTATTAGGCTCAGTTTGGAAGGAGTACAAATACAAATATGTAGAGTGCAAAACCTTATATTTTTTATGTATTTGCATGGTACATATTTGTATTTGAACTCTTTCCAAACAAAGCCTTAAGGACATAAAATACGGTCTACAAAATTTCAGATACATTGGCCAAGCCCCATAGCAAAGTTCCTGCCAAAACTTCACATTCAAACCAGGCACAGGATCGTGTGTGTGTGTGTGTATAAATATATCTCTTAGCCCTCCCCACCAAAAATACTCAACTCACAACCGAGCCCAAAACATGTTACCCTCCCCCCCCCCCCCTTGTTTAGCAAGCAAATCAGCAAATGTATTAGCACTTCTCTTCACCCAGTGAAACCTCACTTTCATATTCTGGGTCAGCCATTTAAACCCCTTTTTTCGTTAATATAACTCCAGAACCCATTTTCCTCTTGTTGTAACCAATTAATCACCAGCTTAGAATCACCTTCAACAATTACCTTTCTAATACTTAGCTCCTTTGCCCTTTGTACTCCTTCCAATAAAGCATACAGGAGGATCATGCATATAAAAAATATATTAAAAGATTATTTTTGGAATGTATAAATATATTAAAAGGTGGATGAATAACATCAATGGATTTCCATACTTCCAGGGTATAACATCTAAGAAGAAGAATAAAACTTGTTATTCATTAAAAAACAAAAAAAAAGAACATTTTGTGATGTTCTTTCAGTAATTTGATTTATTTTGGTTATCCAGAAAAAGATACCACTCAATGCCAAAATAGATAGTGAAAATGTAATAGTAAGGAACAAAAACTTCAGTCTACCAGGCGGAGAAATAGTCTTGTCCAGTACAGAAGGAATTGTCATCTCAATAAGAGGTCTTTGTGATGGAAAGCCACTCAATGCATCTCGGTAAGACAGATCGATCTCCTCCATGCTTAAAGAGAAAGAGAAGGAAATGTAAGTATGAAGATCAATCACAAAATTGTAACTGCATTAGTTTTTATTAATGAAATTTATCCTTCTTATTTATCAAAAAAAAAAAGATCAATCACAAAATTTAGATGTTCAAATGTACAGGTCCACGAATTCACTTCAGATCTCAAGCCTACTATTCTTTGAAAAAACACACAAGCCTATAATTCTTTCTATTGGCTATGAAATTTATCAAAATTCCAGGGTTGCTTTTGGGCTCAGTGAATCTCCCGACCATCAAGTAATAGTTTAATACTGAGTTGGTTCTCATGCTTTCAGGATAGGGATCATGCTCAGTGAACCTCCTTATCATCAATGAAGACTGATGTGGGCTTCAGGCTAGGGATCTTTGCTTTTCTTTAATGTCAGGCTTTAGCCATTGTTTTATTGGGGAAATGTGTTGGGTCTGTGTTTTCATTTTTCTTTTGGGTGTTTGGGTAATGTTCATAGTTGTAAGTGCGGTTGTATTGGGCCTTATTGGGTCTCCTGAGTTGGCTCTCATGCTTTTGGTGATATCTTATCACCTTCTGCTGTACTTTCCTTTTTATTTTAATGAATTTTCTTTTTATCCTTCCAAAAATATTAATAGTTTAATACAATGCAGAAGTTATATAAAATCTCTTATTGATAAATTGATTTTATAAATTTGTGAGGGTGAATATGGACAACACATAGGCAATCTGGATCTGCATGTTCATAACAGATAGCCCCTATAAAAAGAAGAAAAGATGTTTCAAAAATGTTTCCCTATTACCCAACAAGTAGGATACCTTTCAGAACCGATGTGAATGGTACCAACATGTTGAGGGCCTGCCTCCTGAATAGAAGGATTGCAACACTGAAACTGTGGCAGTCTATCAACTGCTATGTTTATTTTTGTTGTCCCCTGTTCCATAAAGTGACAGTCACATAAGAATCAAGTTAGTCTGAGTCATCATGTTGAAATTACCAAAAATCTAAAAACTACTGTCAAGGATCAATAGCAAACAAAGCTCAGTGATGATTAACAAGATTTTAAAACTCATCTGACTGATTTTCTGAAGGGTAAACTCTATATACCCTCTACAGTTTGGGGAGTCTTTCACCCAAGTAATGATGTAAATGGTGATTTTACCCATGGAGCATTAGAACTGGTTTCCCATACATCACTACTCATTCCTTACTGATGAATGCATTACAAGAAATTCTCTCAAAGCTAGGAAAGCTCCCAGACTCATATCTAATCAAAACTTTTACTCCTCTACAACTGTCTTGTGGACATGTACTAAAAAATGTAGTTCCCTTGAAAGTGCTCAAAAGAGTTTTGATGATATACCCATCAAGTAAGCCTGTAATCAGATCGGACCCGAATCAGATGTATATAAATCCGACTTTGATTTGATAAGGAAATTACTCCATCTGAATTCTATCTGACATCCAACCAGATGCATGAGAGGTCAATTCAAATTTGAATCCGATCGGATGAATCGGATTTCAGATTTTTTCCAAGTTAGATGGATTCAAGCAAAGAAAAAAGAGTGTTCAAGAAACAAACCCATCAAAGAAGAACTGAGAACAACACATGGAAGGTTTCTCTCATAGGTACAGCCATTTTCCTGCTTTCATTTGAAGTTGACAATGGAAAACAAAGCAAATACCAGAAAACAAAGACCATAAAATAACACAGAATAAAAAGGGAAAAGAAAAGTAAAAAGAAAAAACAAAGACTAAGGCAACAATTATTGCCGAAGAGATGGCAGAGCCAGCATGCTATGGAAATAAGGGTGGCAGTTCATCAGCACTCTCATAGTTGGGAGCAAGGTTCAAAGTATTGATACGATATGCCCCGTATTGGGCATGCGTATTGTATCTTTTAATCCCCGATACACGTGCTTACAGGTGTTTTCGGGAACCCATTTTTTAAATAATATATACATAAATATATTTGAAACTGAAACTTGAAAAAAAAAAACTAAAACATATTAGGAGTATCGTTCAAATTATTGATACACCTATGCCAATACATAGAGCTGTGTTGATACTATGAACCTTGGTTGAGAAATAGCAGCGAAATGGTGAATCAAATCGAATATTTACCTTTGACGAATATCTTCATTGGAGAACATTTCTCCACTTCGACTGAGAACCAAACGTTGAGCAACATCAGATGCTTGGAAGAACCAAGTTGCAATGATTCACTGATGCTTTAATTGATTTCTTAAATGTGCTAGGGACAATGGTTCTTCAAATCAGGGTTTCTAAAATCAAGGATTTGGGGATTACAGGGATTTGTTCTATAATAGGCACATGGACATACAGGAAGTCAGGAACCATGACAATAGGGCTTCACGGCTTCACAGCTTCACTTCACTTGAGAGAATGGAAGATAAAAACCCTAAATCTCCATGGCAGTCGTCAACAGAAGCTTAGAGACACATTAGTTAGAGCTGGGAAGAATCTTGACTCTCGAGTGTTAAAAACCCTAAATCTCCATGGCAGTCGCCAACAGAAGCTTAGAGACACATTGGTTAGAGCTGGGAAGAATCTTGACTCTCGAGTGTGAGTTTTGACCATAAAAGGGGGAATGGGGAAAGTCATTTCCTTATTTACTTATTTACCACTAAAGTTATAATATATTACAATCTATTTAAGGGAAATATCAAAAACATATCAGGATAGTTTTGTAAACTCATAACTAGAAATATAATATACACATTATATAAATTAATTAATAATAGATATGCTAATATGTAGTTCAATCCGATTATTAATTAGATGCTACTTGACACAACTGAATCTGATCCGTTCATAAATGTAACTCACCTAAATACAGGATAACCAGATCAGATACAGGCCTATCATCAAGTATATGCACTCATGAAACATGATCCCTCAGCATTTATTTGATTGGGTCTTTTCAATAAAACTCAAAACTTGTTTGCTGAAATTCCAAAACCAAACTTTGTTAGCTATAATTCAACAATTTCAGGGTTGAATCACCATGGGTTTCATGGAGAACAAATCTAAGTATTCGGGAGAATGCAAACAGAGTACAATGGTATTTAAACTCAAAACTTGTTTGCTGAAATTCCAAAGCCAAACTTTGTTAGCTATAATTCAACAATTTCAGGGTTGAATCACCATGGGTTTCATGGAGAAGAAACCTAAGCGTTCGGGAGAATGCAGAGTACAATGGTATGTTGATTGATAAATTCATGGTTGTCAGCATTGTAAGTATTTTTGTGTCAGATACATGAAGTATTAGTTGTGATTGGTATGGAATGGAATTGAATATCATAATGTGAAAATGTGAAATGCTTAGTTGACACTTTTGGAAATGTGGTGACCCACATGCCACCTAGTGGCTTTTTAATTGAATGGCTGAAAGGGATATCATCTCATGGACTACAATGGTGGTTGATTTGGCATGGGCACTGAGATTGGAAAAAGGCCCATTTGATATTTGATTATATGCCAGTCAAGAATAATATCTCTTGGACTGCTTTGATGAATAATAGTAAATTTTATTAATTCATAATCTGATTTAGAGTTTTGAATTCATACAACATCCCAGGGAGAGGCGTGAGCTGCAGCCCCTCCTTGAATCTTACAAGTAAACTAGGAAGGAAATACAGGAATCACAGCTGAGCCCAGAACAATTCTTGCCCATTTACCCCTTGCTTGGCTAACACATCGGACAAAGTATTTTCTGATCTCCCCACCCACTGTAAAGAGACCAACATATCCCTTGTCAACCAACTGAATTTCTTCATTTCGTTCTTCTAGCGCCATATAGGATCTTCAGGATTTTTCAACCAGCCCACCACCACTTTGTAATCCCCTTCAATTACTAGATGCTGTACCCCCAGCTGGTTTGCAAATTGCACCCCTTGTACAGCAGCTAATAGCTCTGCCCTGATAGTCTCCAACTCCTAAGGGACCCGAGTAGAGCAACAGAATCTCTCCCTTTTCATTTCTCAAGACACCCCCATTCTGGATAAAATGTTTACAGTAATCAATCAAAAGAAACTCTAAGGAAAGTGTAAAGAACACTGATGTGGTCCCCACAGTGTTCGTATGGCAGCAATATTTTCGTTAGATATGGCAGTGTTAGTTGGTAGTTATTTCAGCTTTATTATTAGTTATTTCTTATTCTATTTGCCATGTAAGCAATAAGGGCAATTCAGCCCTTTTACAGTTGGCCAATAGTTATATAAATACTAAGAGAGGGTTGGCAGAAATTATGACCTACTCTCTTCATGTACTTCTTTTCTTCTTCTCTTCAATTTTTCATCCTTTTTTTCTTTTTAATTCAAGACTGATTGTAGTCTAGATCAACTACTTGGTATCAGAGCTGACCTAGGAGCTCTTATGCTAGTCTGATTAGGCCAACTGCATGAGAACCTCCTAGGTTTGGAAGTTTTTTCAACAAGGTTGGAGGATCAGCTGATTCTTGGAGGTTACTGGTAGTGTGCGGCTGCTACTAAGGAGATTGTATTAGTCTGGGAGAGTTCCAGTAGTCAGGAAGAATCAGAAGAAGCTTCGGATCCTCACGATTAGGGTTTTGCATCAACCAGAAGGTGGCGGCCAGAGATTTGTGTTTTCTGATCAGAAAATATCATCTTGGTTTAGTCTAAGAGGTGCGGCTTCAGAACTTTTGTGTTTTCTTTAGGGTTTTGAGAGAAAACCCTAAAATTCAGAACTGTTATTTGTTTCAGATCAGAATTTGAACTGGTTTCATTCAGAATTCTGTTTTTTGTGTTCTTTGGAAGACCTGGGCCAGCTGTTACCAATTGTTTGGGTGTTGTTTCTCCTATTACAGTAATTAAAAAAGGGTTTTTTATTAATTCTTGATCAAGAATGGAGTTCAAGAGTCAAGGGGAAAGTGTTTTTGGGACTAGCAATTCTATAACATGTCTGAGAATACCTTTCAAATTACAACAGTTAAGTTTGATGGATCAAACTACCTAGAATGGGCTCAATTGGCCATGATGGCTATTGGGGGAGGGGAAAACTGAGCTACTTGTTGGGAGATGTGAAAGAACCAACAAAGGAGGACCAAACCTATACCAAATGGGTTCAGGAGAACTATTTGGTTATGACATGGCTGTGCAACTCTATGCAGCCACATATCAGCCGGAACAATTTGTGGGCGAAAACAGCTAAGGAAATTTGGGATGTCATGAAAGAGACCTACTCCCAACCCCTTAATGTTGCTAGGGCTTATGAACTGAAATGTGAGGTTAACAACCTTAAGCAAGGAGAGAAACCAGTCTYGGTTTACTTCTCTACATTGAAATCTTTGTGGCATGAAATTGACCACCTAGAAACACTTGAGTGGGAAAGCCAGAATGATGCACAGACTCATAGAAAGCAGGTTGAGACTGATATGGTTTTTGAGTTCCTAGCTGGTCTAAATCCTGAGTATGATATTGTGAGACAGCAACTACTGACAAGAGACAGTGTGACCCTATCACAAGCCTACTCCTTAGTGYRYAGYGAAGAGRCTAGGAGAAAGGTTATGATGCAGCATCAGCCCTTCCCACCAGCCTTGGCAGCAGTCAAACCAAAGTCTGGGGGTGATACGAAGAGGGATATAAAGAAGGAAGACAAGCGGGATCTAGTATGTGAACATTGCAAGAAATCCAAGCATACTAAAGACACCTATTGGAAGTTGCACCCTCATTTAGTCCTAGCAAAACTCAGGAACAAAAGGGGTAATGCTAATATGGCTGTTAATACTGATTGTGCCTCCTCATCGAGCACAAAAGGCACACCCCTAGACACCCTAGCTGCTGTCCGGGATGCCCTAACTCAGTTGGAAAAGGAAGTTGTCAATTCAGCTCAATCATCTCAGCCACCATCAGCTCCCACATCAGCTTTTGCTCATTCAGGTACTCAGGCCTC